AGCCCTGAAATCCTAAACCCTAAGCCCTAAACCGAGTGATTTCGAAGACCGGGGTTTTATGTGGAGGAACATGATAGCCTCTGATCCGCTGAGATCGTAGGGCAGAGTTTCCGTGGTTTCTGTTTAACTGAGCGGTATGCAGGTCTTCTATCGATCTGAGGTTCTTTGGCATTGAATTTACCGCTGGCGTACTTGAAGGAGTTTAGCGATCTGGTTCTGAATATCCAAACTCGCATCCCTCGACCCAGAGACCTATGAACCCTAAACTCCTAAACGGGAATGACAGTGACAATCCTGGAGACATCCGCTCTCTGCCCATCTACATATCTCATGTCTCGGATTCTGAAAGGGCGTGCACCCGAAATCCCAGCCCGCAAAACCTTAAACTCGAGAACCGCACATCCTAGACATTCTCTGACCTAAGCGCTGAACCCTAAACCTATAAATCCGCAACCGCAAAATCCTAAACCGCCCTCACTCCGCTCACCCCACCTACTTGCACCCCAAAACCTGCTTCTACGTAGATTCTACTTCTTAGGGCCCTTGTTTTGCCCTACCCATGCTTGGCCGTCGCACAGCTGGGGGCAGCAGTGGCGCAACCACGCCGGCCGTCCATATTTGGAGGCGGCCATCTGTGGGGCTTCTGACCTAAAGCTAGGGATACCCGAACCTTGTTTAGGGTTTTTTGGACTGTTTTAGAAGGCGTTGTTTGAAAGGGGTCTTTCAAGAAATTACGGATGCCATGTCTGCCGTCCTCATAATAAGGATCCTGATGTTTAGGGTCAAAATAGAAAGCTGGGGCTCCTTTTTGGAAAGTTCCGGATGGCTTGAGAACTTGGGGCCATCTCTACATTGCACATTTTCAGTCAGGGTTTCTGGAAAGTCTGACGAGAGAGCGCTTCATGGCCTAATATTACGTTGTAATCAGAAAAGCAAACGGCGTGTCGTTGAGATTCGATCAAAGGTGCAGCAGATAGCACAGGCTTTCGCACGTCGAACGAAGCATCTGAAATAGATGTTGTTCTGTTTGATCTTTCGGGACTCCATGGTGACTGGGTTTTCGTTCGCACATTGAGGGGCATAGTTCGAACAGCTGATGGTGTTGCGCAACTTTCCACAGTGATCGTTGGCTTTGACCAGCGTATCCTCGACCTGCTCAAAAGTACTGCCAGCCTCTTGACGCCGTCAGCAAATACAGGTTCGTAGCGGTATATAGTGTTTGCATAGGTAGTGGAACCATACAGCCTGCAGCGAGATGCAGAAATTCCTCAAACTTCTACTTTCCATTTATAGTCGCACCAACCACCGGAACAGTGACAATCAAAGCGAGGAAGACTGTTCCTCCAACAGAAAGCATTAATTGAAGGCGTAGCTCCTTTTGCAGGTTTAGCCACAAATTTCTTTGCAACCCTTTGCATATACGATGACAGTGATTCCAAGAGCAGGAAGGTTGGTAAGGGGAACCCCTAAACCCTAAACCCCTAAAGCCCTAAACACATTGGGCGGGAGCCAGCGTTTGGCAAGGCTCCTCCGAATTCTCGGCTGCTCAGAGCTCTCAGCCCAAGCATTTCGTGGAAGAGGTCAGTGACTCGAAGAGGCCTGCCGCAATGGCAAGGAACATCACCAAATTGTCACTGTTCTTGAGGGTGGCATGGTGAACTCCCGATGTGAAGTGGTAGAAATACTAGACTGGTGGCGATGGTGGTGGTTGCTCGTGGTAGCGGCGGTCGTAGTCGTAGTAGCCGACGCATTGTAGCACCAGAAGCAGCAGGAGCAGCCGCAGTAGTGCTGCTAGAGGCAGTAGTTGTAGTCGCAGTGGTCGTCGTCGTCGTCGTCTCGCAGTCGTAGTCGTAGCTGTAATCGTAGTAGTAGAAATGAAGTAGTCGTCGTAGTAGTAGCAGTAGCAGCGGCAGCAGGAATAGTCATAGTAGTACTAGTAGTTGGTTTATGTAGTATTTGTAGTAGTAGCAGTAGCAGCAGTACTGGTAGTAGCAGGTGGTAGAAGGTAGCAGTAGCAGTAGCAGCAGTGGCAGTAGCAGTAGCAGTAGGAGCCGGTAGGAGCAGTAGCACTAGCCATAACAGTAGCAGCAGGTTGTTGTTGTTGTTGTACCCTTCACCACGAGGAGCTAGTAGTAGAAGTAGCAGCTCTCGTTGTTTTCGTCGTTGCTCGGCTGTCATGTTCGCAACCGCCGCAGGCGCCCGAAGAAAAAGCTGAGTATGTTAGTTCCCGTCCGACCTGCTGTTCATGCAAGTCGAGTTGATAGTATACATATATTATTGCCTACTTCGCTGTAGAATTGTAGTCAACATCGCAAGCATCCGAATTTCCGTGCTAACAAAGCTGCGAAACGGACTCCGGCAAAGGCACAGTCGCCTTAATGGCACCGTCCTGTCCTCAAGCTTGGTTTGCGGAGTATTGTTTGTGGCCCGGGGTGTGGACTTACTGGAGATTGCATGTCTTCAAGAGGCATTTTCCTTAATGTTCGTTTGGGGTTTATAGTTTTGTCGCGGGCTGGACCGATCGCCTACAGCTTTGCGTGTTTGGATTGAATTGCATCTCTTAGTTCAGCTGGTGAAGACCTGTAGCAAGAGTTTCAGTCGTCGTCAGAGCACAGCAATATTGATTGGATCCACGGGTTGGGCGAGTGTCGCATCGCTCCACCCATGAAATCCTAAAGTCGAAACTCTGAGCAGCCCACCCGCTTGCGAACAAAGGCGCTCACACTGCTTAGTAGATGGCCGCTAGCAGATGCAAGGACAGTGCCAAGCAAAAAACAGGCCACACGCACTGCAGCGATTCTCAATTCAATAAAACACCGCACCGTAAACTCTGCTAAGAACTCCTTAGCAAGTTGTTTTTTTCATGGAGCTTCCTTCTTGAGGCCCCAAAAGCCATGGTGAAGCAGCCGCCGCGCCAGCCATCATCGTGAGGGGCCCGGGTGTCGGATCAGCGGCTGTTCTCCTGCAGTGCCTCCACTCGACACGTCGCTTCAATCAGCGGACGTTCTCCACAACCACTATTTCGGAGTCTTTTGGGGACGCTTCGGTCCTCTGCGGACTCCCGTGCTTTCACACTGGGGTGAATCGGCCAAGTCTTGTAGACTACGATGTCCTCAGTATCCATTGACTTCTTATGCACCCCATGATCCTCCTGGACAGTCGAGATTGCGAAGGAGAGGCGCTGGGTCTTGACTAACCCTCTCGAATCAGCAGAGGTGATGATGAAAAGGGTGCTGGTAGTGGTCAGTGTGGACGGCGGTGGTGGCAATCGTGCCGGTTGTGCTGACGATGATGTTGCTGGTTGCTGGAGCTGGTGCTGCTGCTGGTGCGCTGCTCATCATCATCATCATCATCAACGACCACACCATCATCATTTCATCATCCCCACTGCCCAGAGCAGGCTCATGACGATCGGCAAAGCTCCAGGCTCCAAGCAGGGTGTGACATCTCACAACCAGAACCTGCACGTCCCCAAGGCTAGCTAGCATAGCTAGCCCGGCTAGCCTTGCCGCAGCGACCGCCGCCCCGATGCCTGGGCCACCACCCATGCCGACGCTCGGCTCCAGGCATATCCAGGCATCTTTTTTCGGAGAGTGGCTCCAGGGTTCTGCATTGAGAGTCTATGTGACCTGCTTCTTGAGGGCATATCAGGGCTTAGCGCCAACCTGCAGCTCGCATTGATAAGCTGCTGCTCGCGGAATCTGACAAAATCTACGACCTCTGCGGGGCACATGAGGACTGCTGCGCAGGCCGCGCCCACTTCGCTCCGACACCATGTTACAGTTGCGCTTCCGATCACATCTTGCAGATGCAAAATTAAATTCAAAAGGCGTGATGAACAGCTTAAAGGCACAGCAGAAGCAAGCTCAATCGGGAAAGGAGGAACTCATACACCACTCATACTCCGCAACAGGGCATTGCAATCCGCAGAGACCCCCTGCATAATGCCCGTCATGTCGCAGTCAGCAGCCGTATTTATTTGGTCCAAATGCTTCCGGCATGCACAAAAAGTGCAGCAACCACAGCCAACCTCATCAGCAACGGCCAGCAACTTGCTAAAGGCCCGGCCTAAAGATGTAAACCCCGAGTTTACATCCTCAGCAATAGCGATCTGTCAGTTGGCCTGGAGCCATGTTCGTATGTAGACACACATGTATGTATGAATGTATCTATACTTATGTATGTATGCATGCACGCCTGCATGTGCATGCATACATGCACACGTACGTACGTACGTACGTACGTACGTACATGCGTACGTACATACATACCTGCCTGTAACTGCCTACGTACATATACACTGTACATCGTTTCTTGTCGAAGTAGCGGGTCTCGGCTGTTTTCATCCAGGTTCTGCCACGCTAACCTCTATCCCTGTAGTTTTTCTCATCATGTTGCGGCCTGTCCTGGGAACCTGAGCTCTAGTGTTTGGCCAAGGAGTCGCAGCCCGCCCCCAGCCCAAACACAGACAAGGCCACAGGCCAGCAAATGCCTGAGCGTCCTTGGGGATGCATCATGAAGGAGTGAAGGTTTGGGTGCAGGATTCAGGATCCCGTGCGAATTCACAAGGCTGGGGGAATGCATTCTCGTGGACCACCCCTGCGAAGCACGGAGCCTCCAAAGCGCGAATCTTTTTCGCCGCCGACCTGCAGCTGCTAGCTTCGGGAGGAAACGCTTCCGGCGCCGCCAAGCCAAGGGCAGTCTGTCGGAGGACCTTTCAGCATTGAGCCAAGTGTGTAGCTTGATTTGAGTGACACCCCCCTTCCCCATGAGGGCCAAGTCAGTGTCAGCCGCAGGCACCCGGGTCAAGGCACCTCCTGCCCCTTCACGACGACAGGGAGCAGTGGGCGTCGCCGCCAGAGCCACAGCTCAGCTTGCAATGTCGGTTTCTTAAATGTTGAATTAGGGGATCCAGTATCTACACTCATGATGTTTAGGACGGCTGTTTTTCTGGCTTTGCGAATCTTCGAGCTTGGGTCTACATGCCAACTTGGACCTTGAACATGGTGGCGATCTGGGTCCCCCGCTCGTTCCCAGCTGACACAACTCCTCAGTTGTTTCGGAGCTGAGCACACATTTCTGGACGAAGTAACTTTGAAGCCTACGTTAACCGATGAACCGTGACCTCCAAAAGCAGAAAGCTCAGAGTCCCAAGTCCCTGAATCCCCCCTCAGTCCTCACGCTGCGCCTACATAGGGCCTCCGAGAGCCCCCGGCATGCTGGACTTGTATCCTGTCGCAGTTGACACATCTTGGCCTTGGCACGAGCCTGAAACCAAGTCTGTCTAAGGCCTCGGAGCCTCGCGTGAAGGATGCCGGGTTGGCTTCCTGGGATATAAGCCCACCGAGTAATAGTGCGTGTGTGTGTGTGTGTCTCTGTGTGTCTCTGTGTGTCTCTGTGTGTGTGTGTCTCTGTGTGCGGGTGTGTGTGTGCGGGTGTGTGTGTGTGTGTATGTGTGTGTGTGTGTGTGTGTGTTTGTCTCTGTGTGTGTGTGTGTCTGTGTGTCTGTGTGTCTGTGTGTGTGTGTCTGTGTGTCTCTGTGTCTCTGTGTCTCTGTGTCTCTGTGTCTCTGTGTCTCTGTGTCTCTGTGTCTCTGTGTCTCTGTGTCTCTGTGTCTCTGTGTCTGTGTGTCTGTCTGTCTGTCTGTGTCTGTGTCTGTGTCTGTGTCTGTGTGAGGGTG